GTCCGTTGGGCTGTGTGCGGTGTCGCCGGGCGTAGGATAATAATTGATTACTGTATTTGTACGGTCAGTAAGAGTAAACATTCAAAAGAGAAGCGCACCGATAAAGGTTTCTTTGGGCCCATAACAGTGGCCGGTTATCAGCCAGCCTTATCCACCAGTATGCAGCCTGGAGAGCAGCGTCCGGCTGGTAAGTCTGTGGGGGGAGGTGGGGGTGCAGATTGAGGCCCCCCGCAGTGATGGAGGGAGTGGGGGCTGGGGTAGGAGCGGTCACTGCCCAGCCAGGGAAGGGCACAGGACAGAACTGTGGGCAGGGAGGGGGGCGTGGTCCCCATGGCTGCACACACCCCTGGGGCGGCATGGAGGAGAAGTGCCCCCTGGATTTGTGCATGGGGTGAGGGGCAGGCTGCTGCTGCTGCAAGCCAGGCCAGGGGATGCACCAGCCTCTTCCTGGGCAGGGGGCTGGGCCAGGGCTGCACTCGAGGCAGGTGGCAGCGGGGCTGGGAGGCAGGACTATGGGGAGTTTTACGGTTCTGTAGCTCACCCCATAACCCCCCCCTCCCAGGACCACTGCTGCCTGCCCAATCCTTAGCACAGTCCTAGCCCAGCCCCCCTGCCAGGAAGAAGCTAGCGCAGCCCCTGGCCCCAAGCTCACAGCAGGCATCCTGCCCTCACCCTGCACACAAATCTGGGGGGCACATGCCTCCCCAGGGGTGTCTGTAGCAGTGAGGACCCCATCCCCCACACAAGCTGCCCGTGGCTGTCTTGCACCCTGTCTCTGCTTCAGCTGGGCAGTGCCTGCCCCTGCTCCACCCCCACTCCCTTTCTCACCCTGGGGTCCTCAATATACCCCCCACACACCCCTTCCCTCACAGACTTACAGGCTGGATGCTGCTCTCCAAGCTGTCAGGCTGCATTCCTAGCCGCATATATGCTGCAGCTGCGCACATGCATGCAGCATTTCTTGGTGACATTATCAGTTACACCGGCAAAAAAAGCCGATTGCTATTAATGTCAATTTTTCTTCAATTGGTGCTGATCTGTTATGGACAGATATATCAGTACACCTCTAGTTCAAAATGTACAATAATTTTTGAGGCACCTAATTGATGCAGCAAATGCAAAACCCAAGTCACTCTCAAAGAGTTAACCAACTTCTTGGTTTGCTGTTAGCACTTTCTTATAGCTGCTTGCCTCAAAGAAATGTTTCAACTTTGATGACCGAGTTCTCACTCTCTCAATATAAAGTAAATAAGAAGACTTATTTGCGTTTTTTTTTAATGTACAATAGTTTTTCAGCAAATATGATAATTTCGAACTTCCAATAGGATAATTTCATATTTAAGACCTGGCAACACTGCCTGCCCGTGTAGTTGATTTTCCCACCCCGACCCTGGAACATGCTGCACTGTTTTGTCAGCTGCCTCCTAAACAGGAAGCAGTGTGGTGTGGCCATGTCCCTGTAGTACCTTGTTCAGGGTAATTAACACAGCTGAGCGATGAGGCTGCAAAGACCACCTGCAGCACCATGCAAAGTAGCTGTGCTTGCTTCTGGTTTAGCAGACAGCCTTTAGGGGAGCAGCACAGCAGGTCTTGAAGGCACTGCTGCGAGGCACGGTAAAGCTACTGTGTAGACGTGGCCTTACTCATGCTGTGCCATGAAGTCTGTTCTAAACATTATTGTGTGCAGTAACTTGTTGAGTTGCTGAGTTGTTTCACTTAAGCTCCTTTTATCTTATTTGAGGAATAGGGAACCCTTATTTTTAATGCATGTTATTGAAGCTATTTTCCCCACCCATTAAAAATTGCAGCACAGAGTATTTCAAGTTAAAACTGCACTCTAGGGCAGTGCTCCAAAAATAACAAGCACGGAGTGCTAGCTTTACCTGTAGTCTCACATATATATACTTACCAAATGCTTTTGCTCCTCTATAACCTGCCTGTTATATTTTGTGAGTAAGCTGCATATCAAGGCTTTATAAAGTCAGTATGTTGTGTTGGGAGGGGGAGGGGGAGCTGGGGGTTGCCCCCTCCCCCCATATTACTCTAGATGGCTTCTTCTGAAAGACCTGATAAACATTTTGAGGACCATTGAAAAGAGGGGAAAAAATGCTTCTTTAGCTTGACTAGAGGTCTAAACAGAGTTGATAGGTCGCATATTTTACATTCCTGTCAAATAGCATGCACATCTGAAATACAAACAGCCTAGGGCCTATGATACTACACAAAGCTTTCCATGGTTTAATTGGATTACCTTCATGAAAATACATGTAATCTATGAAAAGGTGTACAGGCCTGGAAGCCAGGTGACAGTTTCAGTCTGGATTCTTCCTACTGACGAATGTTAGCAATTATGTAAGAGACAAGGATTTATCAGGGTGATATCTTTTACTGGATCAACTGTATAGTTGGGATAGAGTTAGATAAGCTTTTAAATGCAAGACATTCTTCATCCAGTTATGTTTTATGACTTGTCAGGGTCTTGCGCCTCTTTCTTACTGGACAGGCAAAGTCATTCCCCTGTTACACAGAAGAGATAGTCGTGCAATTACAAAGACCACTTTTGGGAATTCAGTTTAGGATTAGTATGACAGATATCTATTTCATCCTCTTAGCTGTTCTGCTTCTCAGAATTAAGATGACAAAACCTGTGCTTGAATGGAATGTCCCTTTAAAAAGGAAAGCAGAGCTACCGCTGCATAATCATCTTGGTAAAGTGTGCGTTTCACTGTAGGGAATGAATTGTTAATGACCATGCGGCTTTAGGATCATTTTTCTGTTCACCATAGAAATTGCCAAGTGTGTCATGCTATGAATGAGGTTGTGGGCTGTAGGAAAAGAGGATGTCTTACGGCTGTGACCCTTGATTGTAACTCAGGAGAGTTGTGTTCTTGCATTTAGGGTGCAGCTGCTGATGCAAGCTGTTTAAATCAGAATTTTGGCAAGTAGCTATTAATTGTGTGTTTCATTCTTCACATATCTCACGTGAGATGGTTAGACCCCAGAGTGTTTTTAAGCAGGTATTTAAATTAGGGGCCATTGTAAATTTAAAATCTTAATCTGAGTTCCCTGCCTGTAAAATACCTCCTTAGCTCAGCAAAAAGTCAGGGTTTTTATTTTGAGGCCCTCAGCTGTTCTATAAGTGCAATTGAAAAACTGGTGAGGCAACTAAAAAAAATTCTGTATGCAGAGTAGGGCTTGGTTCGTGTGCAATAAATAAGGGATGGAGTTGCACACTGAATGATAAGAATAAACTGAAATAGAGAGCAGCTGTCTTATTATCTGAATATCATCTTCTGCAGTGAATAAGGTAGGGGTCTTGTGGGGAGAATTGGAAGAGATCATGTAATTAAAGATTGTTTCATAAGACATTCTCACACACAGGAGGCAAAATGAAAGTTTCTTGATCAACCCTATTCCTCATTCTCTCTAACCTGGGAATTTGATTTCTGCCTCCCAACCCTCAACAGTTTTTGTATGGAACACATTGTTTATATTTGGTACTAGCATATACTAGCCCATCACAATGTTTAGACACTGGTGAGAGCCTTTGTTGAGGGTTCTTAATGGCTTTTTGTCCATCTGCACTACATTTTCTTGGAAAACAGAACCCCAGGTGCACCAGAGCTACTTCCTGAGTGGTAACAAAGATGGACTTGCAGACGGGCTTCAGAAGGTTGCAGCCACCGTTTCTGAAATGGTACTGAATTTGCTGTTGGCTACGTGAGCAACTAAACCGTTCAGCTCTAATTCAGCTGCGCCATGTGCTGGCTCCCACTGTCAGCAAAGTTTAGTTTTGCTAGTGTAAACAAGGTTTCTGCGTGAAAATGCTGACTGCTCTGATGCTGTTTCACAAGTTTTGCTCAAGTGAAATATAAGATCATTGTTTATCCAGTGATTTCAGCTAATGACATCATGAAAATGGTGTTCCATATTTCCATCATTTATTTTTTTGAAAATTATTATAAAATTGGACTGTTAAATCTAAAATTGTGATTGTTCTTAAGAACCAGTTGACTAAATCATGACCCAATGGGAAGTTATAATTTCAAGTCTTTGCTAGGCATCTGTGTGGTATTAACAGTGGTTGACGCATAGAGGGTGTACGCACACCCCCTGACAGCCAGTGCTCCCTGCTTAGGCAACGGGCAGGCAGGAGTTCCAGTGGCATCCTCACCCCTCCCACGAGCGCCAGCTGGGGAATGGGGGTGCTTCGGTCGGTGTGATTGGCTGCGGGCCCCCCCCCCCCCCCCCGGAGATCAGGCACCCCTGGTCGCTGACTGGCCGCTGTGGGGGTTACATGCCCCCCTGACTTGGGAGGCACCAGTCGCCCATAGGTATTAATTTAATTAATTTAATTGTCAAATAGTAAAAATCTAGGTTTGACACACAAGAACCATATTGTTTTGGAAAATACGTTTACAGCTCCATTTGAAGTCAGTGAGGATACTGATCTTCCCCCACAGACGGTTTAGATCGTTTTCAACAATATCTGGCACTATATCTTCATAGATTTCCAGAGTTCTTTGCAGAACTTGTGTTCATTAGGGCTGTTATATTGGTGCCAGATTGATGAAATCAAAATTATTTTCTTCACCAAAAGATTATTTGAAAGTGAATGCTGTCTTCATTGCATATTTAAAGCAAATACAGTGCAGTAGTATTTCATTCAGAAGCAAGGAACAGAAAAAATAATGGAAAAAATCTTGGTATCCTTTTGATGAAAAAAAAATGAATTATACCTGCTGATGCAACAACTGAATCCTTGCATGTCTCTTGAAATCCTTTTATGTCCTCTTGAATATCTGTACAGCAATGTCACAAATCAACTTTTAAAATTCCATTAGTATACCCATTCTCATAGTTGCAGTTTCACACTAGTAGTTCCTGGTGAAGCTGAAGTCTTGTTTTGAACATACAAACCATCTTTTATTTAAAGGAAATAACTTCCCCAAATACTTTGTGATTCTTTTCCCCACCTTTTTTAGTTTAAAATAGTAGGTTTTTGCATTATTGTGTGTGCTAATGACTTAAGTGATCTTTTGCAGGTCTAATATAGGCCTGATTAATTATGAAATTTCAGATTTGCTCTCTGTTTTTCCTTGAAAAAGAATGAACATTTGCATTGCTAATCTTGTCACCCTTAACCTACCAACATGCCTCAGTTGTTACCTGGAGGGAAATTTTCAGTCGACAATGAGTGAATGTTTCAAATAGTCATAGCCTCTTTGGCCTTCTGCATATTGAACATTTTCATATCCTACCATCCTACCACCATAGTAGCAGTGATACACCTCCACTGGTGGTAGTAGTCATGGGAGTGCTGATGCAGACAGGCTGGGGTTTTAATCACCTTATCATGTAGACCTGCTCTTAGGTATAGGTTACATGTTTTAATCAACTTGTCATGTAGACCTGCTCTTAGGTATAGGTTACAAAAAATGCAAATTGCCAGTTTACACCAGTATTAGCTGGTGCTGCTGCCCCTGGTGCTAGTGCAGTGACGGGAAGTGTTTAGATGCATGCTAGTGTAGAGACAACCTGGAAATTATCAGTTTGCTTCTCTTTGTGAGTACCTATTCAGTAGGAACCTGATCATGTCCATTATCAAATACTACATAGGCCGTGAAATAGAAATTGAATAGCCACAATTTTTTGTTGTTACTAGCTTGGGACAAATAAAACTAGTGATGCTATAGCTTAAAGGCACTATCATCCCTTATATTTCCCCTTTTTACATTTACAGAACAAATGAAGGGTAAATCTAAAGGCATTGAATGATCTCCATTTGACTCATTGTGAGAAGAAACTCTTGTCTATATTGTCAATTTTCATCCATAAACAGTATAGCTGTTTTATTTTTTGGGATTTTTATTTAACATTGAATATGAAACCTGATCATTTACAAGGAAAATCATAAAATCTTTGGAAATTTTGACATTCAGACTTTGTTAGCTACTTGCTTATTTCTTACGCACAACTAAAAAAAAGTCTCATGTGATCTATTGGTCAATCGTGCTGAGATAGGGATGAGTGCAAGAAGCAGATGCTAAAGCCAATGGACTTGCTTTCATAGGTTAAGTAGACTTTAGAAATGTGTACGGGCATATTTTTTTTTTGTTGAGAGGGACTACTATGTCCTTATGAAATGTAATGTTTTTCTGTGCTGCCTGTCATCTTGCTGTTTAAAAAGTCACTTTATCAGTGAGGAAAAGTAGAGACTATTTTCTGTCTCATAGGATAAGCTGCATTTCACCTGCAGCTTAATGAAATGAAGATCCACAACTACAGGCTCAGATTAAACATTAGATATGGACAAGTGCATCTTTGATTACATGTTAAAGGTTGGCAAGTTCATAAAACGGAAGGATACTTAAGGGCTAAACATACCCTTCCTACCACTGGCTCCCTGGGTTCAAACTTAAACACTTTGATTTTAACTTCACAGTGAATCGGGAAGTCTCTAAGCATTTACACCTTTCCAGCCTGGAGGTGGCAACAACATAACAACTTGTCTACCTGCTATCATCATAGGGTCTAATCACTAATGCATTTTATTTGCTATGCTTTTGTCAAATTGGGAACTCTTCGTTCCATTTTTTATAAATACAGAAATGGAAACAAAGGGTTAATTCTGATTTGCCTTAGATCAGGTTGGAAGTTGGGTCAAAGCAGAAATTGAAGTCATACCCCTTGAGTTCTAGATCATCATCTATAGGAGGACAGCATGCAGTCCTTTATCTCTCAAATGGGTATACTAATGGAATATTAAAAGTTGCCTCTTGAAAGTGTTAAAAGGCCTTCTGCCTCTCCTGTCTGGGAACCTAGATTTACAAAGATCTCATTAATGCCTACTGTTTAAATAAAGGTTAGAAGTACCTCCTTAATAGCAGGAATTTTCATAACCATGTCATTCCCTTGGCCACAAGCCCACCTGCATTTTATTAAGATTGAGCTGAAGTGAGCCAGCTGAACTTAAATGAAAGCAAGGAGACAGCAGACTCATTTCAGGGAAAGAAAGGGTTGAATATCAACAGAGTCCTGTCTCAGTCTTTCCCAGTAGTGTCACATATAGCATAAAAGAACATATGTTTAATGTAGATGAATGCCTGGATTTGGGGGGCAGCTTCAATTATAGGCCATAGGCCTATTCCCTTTTTATTTCACTTGGTCTTTGTATCATCATGACCTGCAAGGATAATGGGCAGAGGAAGTACACCTAAGGGCCAAGGCTTTTTTTTCTAAAGGCACTTTAGGTAAATTCTGTGCTTTTTTTTTTTTTTCAATTGGTATAATAAACTGTTAGCCAAAAAGTGTTCTTCCTTATGCTCTTGGCCTACTCCCACAGGAGTTGGGGGGGAAAAAATCTTAACTCAGTTTGTCATGATTATAGCTTCCTATTTTGTATTAATGAACTACACAATCCCTAGTTTAGGTGCAATATTTAGAATCTAATATTAGCGTGGTTCTTTTTTGACACTTCTAAAAATGCAGTGAACTGTTGGAGACTATGCTTAAATTGCACCTTGCCAAGGTTGTTCTTGATTCCTGTGTTTATTTCTACAAACGTCCTTACATTTTTCAGTAGGAGTTTGACTGTTAAGTAGATGAGTAAACTCCGAAGTTAAATGGGGACTATCAGGATTTCTGTTTCCTCTGCTGGAAAGTATAACGGTATTTATAAATGCTGTAAAGTATAAGCCAAGTATCTTAGCTACTGTAAAGGAGATAGGCCACAACTCTGCTTTGCCCTGTGGCTGACTTATGGTCTCCTGTCTTGCTGGTACAAAACATCTCAAAAGTCCAAAATAGAATAGTCATCCAGTGGCATAGAGCTGCCTACTGTTCATAGAAAGGGACACAATTGTTTAATTTCACTGCTGCCCTGAGTGTTCCAAAGTATGGCAGAGAAATTGATAGGAATCTTGTTTGTTTCCATCTACTGTGGTATATCATAGCTATAATCAGTAGCAGTAACATCTGTAGATGAGAGTGCAATGCCCTGCCTATACTTTGCATTCAGCAAATTACCTCAGCCATAAATGTTAGGGGTTTTTTTAAGAAGAAAAACTTCTGTTCTGCAGACGTTGCTGGCTTAAGACTCGGAGTCAGGCAAAGCCTCCCACTCATCACTAGCAAGTAAGTGATCATTTACAAAGATGGACTATATAAGCCCAAGTGTTCCCTGACTTTGTAAATGAACTGTTGCCATCAATGCCAGTTAACCTCTATTTCAGAAAATAGCTACTGCTTTTCTTCCTGAGAATTATGGGAATCATTTGCATTGCTGTCAGTGCCGGGGATGTGATCTGCTTTTACATGTCATCACCGCAGTTCATGTTTTTTGCTCCATACTGTTATTCCTAAAACTTTAATCTTCCTAGAATAGAGAATTGAGTCCGAGATTTTATCAGTTCTGTTGCTCAGATGGTCTTGAATTGGGTCTCGAGACTAGATAATTTAGTACGTGGTAGTTCTCAGTCTACTCTGGACCATTGAGGCTCTGCGAAGAGCTGGCTTCTGGGGCTTATTCAGGCATTTAGGCTTTTTACTGCATGAAAGTGGCTGATTCCTTGTACAAGCAGCTGGAGGCTGAGAAGAGCCATTCTAGTGTCTCTCTCTTAATAAAGAGAGAGACGGAATAAAGAATGATTATTAGACAAGCTACCAATCTCTAAATATTCCCCTATTGTTGTTTTCCATGGTGGGGAAGGGTAGGAAGGAACTGCTATCAGTGCTTCCGGAGTGTTCATTTGTGAGTTGGAAGGAAGGTGGTACCTGGTGATGGTTAACTAAAGGGGATTCTTCCTCCCTCTCCACCTGCCCCCAACATGGCTTTTATAATGAAAAAGTGCAAGAACTCTGTATCTTCCATCAACCGTGTCTAGTTACTACTATGATCAATTTTTGTCTTTTTACAGTTTTGTTGGATGCCATTATGAAAAATGGAAGTACTGCTGGGGGTGGTCCCTATTGCCAAAAACCACCTGGTGGCAGTGATCAAAGTAAGCCCGCTAACACAAAGGACAGCAGTGCATCTGGTGCATGTGAAAGTGGTAAAGGCTACAACAAAGAACAAGTGGAAGGAGTACGCAGGTATGAGTTTACCTAAATAAATTGCTGGCTTTTATTTTGTACCTTTGTTTCTAAATATAGCTTCTAAAGGAGAATTGCCAAGTTCTAGATTAACCATAGAAAAGAAATGCTAGTTTGATTTAATATGATTTTCCCTTGTATGAGCATTATATCAATCTACATTGCGAATATTCCTGACAGTTAAATAGTCAATAGTCATGGCAAAAGAACAGAAGTGGCAAAAGTCCTGAGGGAAATGCTGCTTTTTTATTTTGAAGATGGTTATAGTTATCTGTCTACAATACACTCCTGTTAAAGTACTATTGTAAGTCCAGGGATTGGAAATGCAAGAAAAATATTAATATGCTTATAGATAACTTGATCAAGGGTCTTAGATAAACTGATTATTAAGCTTATCTCTTATTGGGGGTAGCTGTATCCAAGTAACCCCTACAACCAGAGTCTTTAGCTTGTACTGCAAGCTCTAGCCCTGGGCCTAATATGGGATCATAGGAACATAGAGCTGGAAGGGACTTCATGAAGTCATCTAGTCCGGCCGCCTGCTCAAAACAAGATTGTTACTGACTAAACCATCCCAGCCAAGTGTCTGTCTAACTGGCTCTTGAAAATGTCCAGGGATGGAGATTCTACAGCTTCTCTAGGTAGCCTGTTCCAGTGCTTAACTACTCTCATAGTCAGAAAGTTTTTCCTTGTATCCAGAAACAGCCTATGTATAATGAAGAGAAGGAAGAGTGGTTTTGGTGATATCTTTTATTGGCCCAACTGTATGGTTGGGAGGTGTTGAGTTTTCAGGCACAAAAAATGTTAGAAAACTAGTGTTTCCCAGTTATGTTGTTGGACCAATAAAAGATTGGTCCAACACCAAAAAAACCTTGCTTCTTGCATATTTCCTGGACAGTCATGGCTACAACAACACTCCAGCCCCACTGTCTATAAAACATGGCAGAGATTAACAGATATGCATAACATTGGTTCTCAGAAAGGTGCTGAAGAAATGCACTGAATGTTGCCAGTGTTCACTGACTACAGCCTGTTACCCGCTAACTTTGACATCAGGCTGCCTGCAAACATTCTGACTTCCACCAGAGTGCCTGCATCCAATTACTTTATTTAGTTCATAATCTTGATTCAAATGTAGATCCAAAGGTTACTCTATGTAACATTTAACATGTTGCTTCCCCCAAAGGGCCATTGGGTATTGGACACCTCGCTGAATTAGTCCTGAGAGGATAATGTCAGTCTTGGGAGGTTTGCATTTTGAGACATGCAGAAAAAAAGTTATGAGCTGTAAATTTTTGACATGCTGTGATTTTTAGAACATCTGTTACTGAAGAAGTCCTACTTCCAACAGTGTAAAAGGTATATTACTTGACTCTAGTTTGAAGCTCCATGAGGCACAGTAATTTTCTGAATGATGCAAGTAACTAAACCTGTGGATCTTGGAACAGTTATTATGACTGGTGGTAATGTAGATTGAATAGAGGTTCTTTGGAGCACAGGTGGTCCTTTTGTTCAGTGGGGCCCTTGTACCGGACCAGATAATTTCTAGATAAATTTCTCTCATTAGTTTACAGAACATAAAATCTGCAGCTTAGGAGGGAAAAACTTTACTTTCCTTCCTAAAGGGAATATACTTGATGCACTACAACTAAATGAAAAAATTAACTTCAGATAAGCTCTGAATAAATTCAGTGACAATAAATGTGGGAGCGGGGGATTATATTTCAAGTATAGCAAGATGGTGCTCATGTGGTGAAGATATGACAGATTATATGCATTATTACTCCAGTCAGACAACAGACTATTCCAGTTAAATGAAATATCGCAGTATGGAAGTGGTATTCTTACTGGGGTCCAACTTCTCTTCTCCAAAAACTGCTGCCACACCACAGGTGAATTGTTTCCAGACCTTTGAATCTGTGATAAGGAAATACAATTTGGGTAGGGACAAGATTAATTTATAGTACCATTTCATATTTCATGTTGAGGTTTTTGTCTAGAACGTTATTAGTACACTTTATTTTACACTTCAAGTGGGTGGATAAATCCATTAGTCTCTGATTTTCTCACTCCGTTCTGTTTTGTCTTAGTGAAGTGGCAGATCCTCAATTTGTAATCTGTTCTCAGTTTTTGGGGGGTTAGTCTTTGCATGAATGTTACTATACAGTGAAAACTTTGCATTTGAAATGTGAGATTGCTTCTTTCCCGTGTTCTCATGTAGCCTTCTCTTCTGTCTCGTTTAGTTATTGATAATTTAATAGGTACTAAAGTACAGGGGATTTGTGTAATTTGTTTTCATTGGTACTGACTGGCCTCTCTGACTTTATCTTGGAGGTTCCTGCTGCTGGACACCATGTATTAGAATTTCTGTAGTGATCAGACTATATGCACTTTACTTGTAATAACAATAGAGTTAAGAAACAGTGTGAAGATGAGTCTGGAGAAGAACAACCCTACAAATGGTTTTAATGCAATGATTTTCATCAGTGTTACTCTAGTAATGTGGATAGATACAAATACAAACAAACACCTCAGTGCTGCTTTCTTAATTTCTTCCTTATACACAAGGGACGTTGATCACCAACAAGCTAACATAGCACTTCAGTAAAACATTGTGTGATCGTACAAACAAGTTGCTCGATGGGGAGAAGTGTAAGATGCAATATCTTTCCACTGATTGCATAAGTATTGAGCAATATTCTATGAACAGTAAGAAATGTTGAAAAGAAATCTGCTCCTTGTTCAGTGCTATGCTAGAAAAGTCAAGCACTTGATCATTTGTGAACTGAAATATACCTGAAAATAATGTTTTATTACATGCCCCTCTTACCTGCTGCTGGTGATCCTCTTGTTCAGAACTGGTGACAGTAGGCTGAAGGCCAAATGAGGGCTGATCAAACAAGCTTCCCCCTGCTTCACTATAATCCTTACCTCAAAACAGCTGTCATTGTTAACATAAATATGTCATTACAATCATTTTACAGTTAGTAATTATCATAAAAAATGAACACAATGAGCAGGAAGGAGAAAGAGGCTTGATATCACACGCTTACATACATGCATACTCTGCAACTATAGGGATGGAGACTCGCATGAAAGTATAGATATGTGCCTCGCTAGTCCTATAGGAACAGCCAGGCAGGCCATTTGGAATCCATGTACTATTAGTGTTACGTAGATCACAGTTATTCTAAGCCACTTTAATGCAACTTTAAAAACACCCTTTTAAAGAGGAATTAGTTGTCATTCAAGTGTTAATCCTTCTTTTTTTTTTATGCCATTGAGCATATATGGTTAGCTGTCTACTCATACCACAAAAGAATCTAACACGTATAGAAATAATATTACATTTTACGTTGGCTTTTTGCAAAGGAATTGAAAATGTGTGAATTAAAAATACATATGGTATTCCATGTCTTAGGTTTTTATTATAATAACTAGCCAATTGGCCATCATGAATAACAGAGCATTTCAGGGAGAGCTTACATGCCCCCCACCACTCACCCTTTGGGGTTGGCCATGTAAACCAGTGGTGAGCAATTATTTTGGGCAGAGGGCCACTTACCGAGTTTTGGCAAACTATTGAAGGCTGCATGGGTAGCTCTTCCCCTTGGCAGGTGCCCCAGCCCCCCAGTTGCCATCTTGTAACCAGAAGTCCCGCCCTCTAACCTTTGCCACCAGAAGTCTGTCCCCTTGCCCCTGGAAGTACTCCTTTCAGCAAGGGGTTGTGCTTTCTTGGAGCCAGAAAAATACCAAATCATATTCTCAAAAGGAAACATGTACAGCTTTCATTAATTTGATTTCAGAAATATTTTTGTCCCGATTTACTTGCATTTGTGTAGTGTACAGAGGTGATTGTATATAATAGCTTAAAATCAAGTTTTACTCTTGTATATTGTGGGGGGTGGGTATAGGTTTGTGGGGGGCTGTGGGTGTGTGGGGTATGTGGGGTGAGGGAGCATGTGAGCTTAGTACTTCTGTCTGTGTGTCTATCCATTTGTAATGCTGGGGGCCAACTATGCATGCGCCCCGGAGAGGGCGGGTGGCAATTGGCTGCACAGGCCCCACCCCTCAGGCAGGGAACCGGAGGTGGAGGGAGCCCTTAGGCTTTAAAACTGTATTGACTTGCCCCGGCTCCTGTCAAAGCTGATAAGAGTCAGGGGCAGTAGGACCCAGGAGGAGCCTCAGCAGGACTGAGCAGCCCAGCCTGCCCCACCCCCAACAATTGCACCCCCTGCTGCCGGTACTGTCGGTACCATGTGGCCTGGCTGCATTGCCAGAGCGGGGAGCGCGGAGCTGCTGGTAGGCTGTGTGTGTGTGTGTGTGTGTGTGTGTGTGTGTGTGTGTGTGTGGAGCCAGGGGCAGAGTAGGAGGGTGGGTGTGTGTGTGTGCAGCCAGGGGCAGAGTACGTAGGGGGAGGGTGTGTGCAGCCAGGGGCAGAGTGCGTGGGGGGGTGTGTGTGTTCATAGGATGTGTCCCACACGCACACCCCACCATACACATGCACCCACACTTGCCTCGTATTGCCATACACGCAGACCCCCACATCCACACCCCTTCACACAGCCCAGGCACCCTCCCTCCCACACAGAGACCCCGACAAACCCCAAACCCACCCACACCCCACATATCCACACATGCACCCACAAGCTCCCTCACCCAACATACCCACACACCCACAGCCCCCCACAAACCTATATCCACCCCCCACAACATACAAGAGTAAGACTTAATTTTAAACTATTGTGCTATCACCTCTGTACACTACACAGACGCATGTAAATCAGGACAAAAATATTTTTTGAAATCAAGTTAATGAATGCTGTAGATGTTTCTTTTTGAGAATATAATTTGGTATTTTTCTGGTTCCAAGATGGCACAACCCCTTGCTGAAAGGAGTACTTCTGGGGGCAAAGGGACAGACTTCTGGTGGCAAAGGTCAGGGTTAGGGGGCAGGACTTCCAGTCACAAGATGGCAACCAGGGCGTGGGGCACCTCCC